TCACTCAGTTGGTTTGTTTTCAATATAATGCACATGCAGTCTTTGAGCATCACTTACACGTGGTAGTGCTTAGCAAAATGCAATTATTCGTATTTTATTAGATATAATAATGGTTCTCAAAATCAAGAACAGAGCTTGTATCCAGGATTCTAAATTCCCAACCCTAACCACTAACCCAACCTTATCCTAAACATAACCCTAATTAAAACAACTAAATCATGAAGTTGTGCCTAACCCTAATAAGAAAATTGTTAAAATTATTTTACCAGGGTCTGATTGAATAAAGATCTGGATTTCAGAAAAATACCACACGTAACAAGATCAATGTATATTTCTGTAGAATATTATATATTTTACGGGAGTTTTTCTTACATACTACAAATATAGGTATGGATGTTGACTGAGTGATATGTAACAGATGGGAATACATGACGTCTCTGTTTATTTATGAGAGGAGGCAGTGTTATACTTTGGGCTATGTCCTGCTGGAAAACCTTGGGTCCTGGTATTCACATCAATTTTAATTTGACAAGTACCATCTACCTAGAGATTGTTGCAGATCACGTACACCCCTTCATGGCAATGATTATTATTATTATTGCCATTTATATAGCACCAACAGATTCCGTAGCGCTTTACAATATTATGAGAGGGGGATTTAACTATAAATAGGACAATTACAAATAAACTTATGGGAACAATAGGTTGAAGAGGACCCTGCTCAATCGAACTTACATTCTAAAGGAGGTGGGGTGTAAAACACATTAGGACAAGAATTTGCAGTCAAATAAGGTGGGCTGCCCTTTAGGAGAGAGCAAGAGACAGGTATGTGAGGTAGATGTTACTCTGGGAGGCCATAAGCTTTCCTAAAGAGATGGGTTTTAAGGCACTTCTTAAAAGATGCAAGACTAGGGGAGAGTCTGATGGCGGTAGGCAGGCTATTCCATAGGAAGGGAGCTGCCCGCGAGAAGTCCTGCAAGCGTGAGTTGGCCGTACGGGTGCGTACAACGGACAGGAGGTGGTCATGGGCAGAGCGGAGAGACCGAGAAGGGACATACCTATGGATCTGTGAGGAGATATAAGAGGGCCTAGAGTTGTTCAGTGCTTTACAGGTGTGAATTAGTATCTTGAATTGACTCCTATAGCATACAGGAAGCCAATGTAAGGACTGGCAGAGGGGTGAGGTGTGAGAGAAACGACTAGAGGGTAAAATCAGTCTGGCAGCAGCGTTCATTACGGACTGTAGCGGTGCAGTACGGCTTTTTGGAAGACCAATCAGAAGAGGGTTACAATAATCCACGCAGGAAATTACTAGAGCATGGACAAGCTCCTTGGTAGTATCTGGTGCAAGAAAGGGGCGGATGCGGGCTATGTTTTTAAGATGGAATCTACAGGATTTGGCAACATGCTGGATGTGAGGCTCAAAGGTGAGGCCAAGACAGCGCGCTTGCAAGGATGGACTGATGTTGGTACCACAAACTTGAAGGGAGAATAAAAGAGGAGGATCAGTATTAGGAGGAGGAAAGACAAGGAGCTCAGTTTTAGAGAGACTGAGTTTCAGAAAGCGGGAAGACATCCAGCCAGAGATGGAAGAAAGGCAAGCAGTGACACGTTGCAGGACGGCAGGGGAGAGGTCCGGGGAGGAGAGATATAAGTGGGTGTCATCAGCGTACAGGTGGTAGTGGAATCCAAAAGAGGTAATAAGTTTGCCAAGAGAGGCAGTATAAAGAGAAAATAGAAAGGGACCAAGGACAGAGCCTTAGGGGACTCCAATCGAGACAGGACGAGGGGAGGAGGTATCATTAGAAAAAGAGACACTGAATGAGCGATGGGAGAGATAAGAGGAAAACCACGAGAGGACAGAGTCACAGAGACCAAGTGATTGAAGAGTTTGAAGAAGGAAAGCATGATCAACGGTGTCAAAGCTGAGAGGTGAAGAAGAATTAGTATGGAGTAGTGGCCTTTGGATTTAGCTGTGATTAGGTCGTTAATAACGTTGATAAGCGCAGTCTCAGTAGAGTGGAGAGGGCGGAAGCCAGATTGAAGAGGGTCAAGGAGAGAGTTGGAATTGAGGAAATGAGACACACGGGTAAAGACAAGTGTTTCCAGAAGCTTTGAGGAAAAAGGGAGCAGGGATATGGGATGATAGTTAGATGGGTGGACGGGTCGAGATATGTTTTTTTTAGTATAGGTACTACAGTGGCATGTTTAAGGTCAGCAGGGACAATCCCAGAAGAGAGAGAGCAGTTGAAGACGTGTGTTAAGGAAGGTACGAGACAAGTGGAGAGAGATCTAATAAGGTGAGATGGGACAGGATTGAGCAGGCAAGTGGTGGGGCGAGAGGAACAGAGAAGAGCAGCCACCTCTTGGTCAGTAGCCGGGGAGAATGTCTTAAGGGTAGGAAAGGCATGATCTATGTGTGGTTGAGAAACAGAATGGCAAGGAGGGGAGAATTCTTTCCTTAGGTGTTCAATCTTGTCAGTAAAGTAACATGCAAAGTTATCAGCAGTAAGGTTAGTTTGGGGAGTGGCTGCAGCAGGGCGAAAAAGAGAATTAAAGGTGTCAAAGAGATGGCTGGGATTGCGGGAGCATGAACTAATGAGAGAGGAAAAGTAGGACCGTTTGGCAAGGGCAAGGGCAAGGGCTGCGCTGTATGAACACAATATGAATCTATAATGGAGAAAGTCTGACTGGGTGCGAGACTTCCTCCAGGAGCGTTCAGCACAACGGGAGCATCTTTGCAGATAACGTGTTGATTTATTATGCCACGGTTGGGGGCGGGTCCTCCTCGAGGTGCTTGTTTGGAGTGGTGCTGCAGCATTCAAGGCAGAGGTTAGGGTAGTGTTATATGCGGAGATGGTCAGTGAAGGACAGGAGAGGGAAGGGATGGACAGCAGTTGTGAATCAATATCAGCTGACAACTGCTGGAGATTAAGAGAATTAAGGTCCCTCCTGAGCTGAGGGAGGTTGTTGGGTGAGGTGGTACACAAGAGCAAATGATAAAAGGGGGTGATCAGAGAGAGGAAATGGAGTATTAGATACTGTACATGCATAAGTGAAGATTAGGTCAAGGGTATTGCCAGGTACTTGGGTGGGAGAATTAGCCCACTGTGATTGCCCGAGGGAGGAAGTAATTGAAAGTAGTTTATAGGGCTGCAGAGGTCAAAGGTGGGTTAATAGGAATATTGAAGTCCCCGAGAATTAGGGATGGAATGTTAGAAGAGAGGAAATAGGGTAGCCAGGCAGCAAAGTGGTCAAGGAAGAGAAGAGAGGAACCAGGGGGACGATAAATAACAGAAATGTTAGTAGAGAAGGGTTTGAAAAGGCGAATTGAATGTATTTCAAATTTGGTGCCAGATACCGCAGGACACGTTCAGAGGTCTTGTCTAGTTCATGCCTTGATGCATCAGAACTGTTTTGGCAGCACAAGGGGAATCTACATGATATTAGGCAGGTGCTTTCAATGTTGTGGCTGATCAGTGCATATATGCTTATGGGTTGTAGTTACAGAAGTAGATTGTATCCCAAAGAAAATTGTCATCTTATAAGACATGTACTGTGGAGGCTTTTATGTATAAATAGTGAGTAAAGGATACAAGTGAAACATGATTCTAAGTTTTCTTTTACTTTATAATCTGAATTGTATTTTTTTTAAAGAAGTATAAATCTGAAGTTTTGTATTTCTATCGCATGTCTGATGTATTCTATTAAATAGGTGGGCCTGTTTTCCCTGAGAAATAAGAATATATATTTATTTATAATTTAGGGACTTTAAGGTTTTTTTCCCATTTCAATATTATTTATTTAATAATGTAATTAATAATGTTAAGATTTAATTAAATACGTGTACATGTAAGCCAAGTTAGTTAGGAGTAAGAGAGGTTAAATTAGTTACCTAACCCTAATTGCAATCTTCACTTAACCCCAAATGCCCCATTTGCATGTGCTTTAGTCGATGCCCTAACTGAAATGTCAGTGTGAAATCAGCTTTACTTACCATGCAGGACTTGCTGAGGAAGAGTTACCATTCCAGCTGATGTCTCATCATCGGTAGTGACACAGTGGTCTCGTGCATACTTCCATCCTGCAACAGATTTCAATCCAATAAGAAAAAAAAATGGATAAAAGAACTAAAAGTCTACTACCAAAAGGCAAAAATAATGTTTATGACCTTTCCCCCTTTTTCATAAAATATTATGGTTTGTAGTTATGTGACAATCATGTTGGGATTAAGATGTGATGATGATATTTATCTATTACTTCTTATATTGACAGGAATTTTGGAAAACTGAATATGAAGACTTGATTGCCTTGAGAAGTGTCCTTCGTAGGTCCATGAAGTTGGTAATAACATCAGAATTAAATTGTAATTTAAATACAGCTGAAATAGCATGTTTTCACATAAAAGACCAATATCAGAACATTAAGGTATAGTCTGGAGCTTAAAGACCGAGAAAGAAATTTTTTTTAGAATGTGTTCTAGATATCTGAAATTGCATTTCAGAAGAAATATTAAAGTAGTAGAAGCAATAAAAGAAAAGAATTGAAGAATTCTTTGGATTAGTATTAAACTCTTGAGAAAAAAAACATGCACTCGTTTTTGATAGAATAGATGTGTAGGGGCAGAGCCTAGGAACCTTGACAGAACGGACGTGCCGAGATCAAGCTCCTGACAAAACTCACAACTTTGGGGGAAAAACCCCAGAAACACGGCACAACCGCATTACAGTTACAGTAGGGCTACAGTTATGCTGGGGACACCCAGGTGAATTCTTAGATACCAGAATGCAGGCCTACCCAACCGGGAACCCAAAATCTTCTGCTGAGACCTGCTGAGGATCGAGCAGAGGAGAGACGGCCGCTCTCCTCGCTTGCTAACTAGGACAGAAGTCCCTCAACTCTCCTCCCCCCCCCCCCCCCCTTTGGGACCGGTGGGGATATCCCGGTCCCCTCTGGGCGTCTGGACTACCTTCCTAGACAGTGGCGTCACCATACACAACATGGCTGCTGAACGCTTGCCACTTAAGCAGACCCAGCTCTCCAATCACACGAACCTTCACGACATCATCACTGATATTATGCAGCGTCTTGACAAATTGTTCAATGACTTCTGGGAGAGACTTCAAAGCCGCAAGCAGACAGCACAGATAAAGCATCAAGACCTCCTGGAAGTGGGTAAGAAGGGTCGCGGGCAGCGGGGAGCGAGGAAGTCACCCTCTGGCAAAGTACCAGTACACCAACCAATACTTACTCGTCCTAGTCCACCCGAGCTGAAGGCCAAGAGGGTCCTGACTGTCATACGAGAAGGAAACTCGTGCTCCGGAAGCAGATGAGTTTGTAGCCAAGAGATGCAGGCCTACATACCAGCCTGGGGCTGGAGGATCACCTACACCCGCACCCATGCGGCGACGAACCCCCGCGATCCAACAGCGGGATACAGACGCCTTCCGACAGAGGGAATCGGATGAGAGGGACAACTACTTACCAACCCTCTCATGACCGAACACTCTCTCCATCGTGTTCCTGTGCATGACACTGAACCATGATGCCACATATAGCCATGGCCGATATACTTGGGATCTAGTGTGTTTTTCTTTTTGACCTAGAATCCGGACCACAGTGACATACTCTTTAGGGTAGCCAGTTAAGTTTTGCAAAATGTTATTAGCTGCATGACCGGCACCCGATATGCCTGACCTATAGCAGCCACATGCATTGCATGTTTAGCTCAGCTTATTTTCTTTCTTTTCATTACCAATTCAATTGCCAGTCTAGCGGACAGCACCAGGCTACCGATGGCAGCATATTTACCCTATTAGGCATTAATCGACGTAGCTACTATGTTATTCTCACTATAAAAAAAAATTGTGCATGTCCCTGCAAATACCCCAGTTGTACCGCATGTGATAAGCCTGAGGACTGCCGTTGGGATACCTCAAGCCTGTATGTAATGTTCCTATGCACTACAAAAATATAAATAAATTAAAAAAAGAAAGAAATAGAAATAGAAAAAAATTAGGCTTTACTAGCTAGGAGATGCTGAATTATGCTGTGATATCCCTATCTTGTATACAAATAGTGCATTTCACTTTCTTCATTCTGTACAACCCAACTCAAATGCCTCAGTAAAAGAAAAAAATACAAAACAGAATAGATGTGTAAATTTGTTTTTTTTTTAAATTCCTTGTGAAATTTCAGTTTTTATAGTTAATTACAAGTTAAGTTCTGCGTGCCATAAGATGTTCAATAACGTATAAACAGGTGTTAAATGAGTTAACAAATCAGCAAGGCACATACTAGCTTTTGGCATTTAGAGCGTGTACCACTAAGTTGATGTCAGACATGTAGCACCAAACACAAATTTGGTCCCATACATATAATTGAAAACTTGTAAGAAACTGTTTCTACAATTGTGCATATTATATACGTATCATACATGTCTTACATCCTCCAGACAGGGAACTAAAAACCGTAGCTCCTGGTGACCAGCGACAATGGGGGAGATTTATTCAAGTTTTCCGTTCCAAAAAGTAATGCAGAAAATGTGCCTTCTGGCTTAAGTCCTTTTCATATTGATCACCTCATTTGCAGTAGTTTAGACCACTTTGTAGAACAGAAGACTTTGATAAATCTCCACCAAAGTGATGCTCCACTGAAAACACTGGAAAACACTGTGGACTATGTTGGCACTATATAAATGTTAATAATATTAACAATGATATCAGCAACAACAATTTATCAATATGTGAAATCACATCAGGTATATCCATTGTGTTTTCTGGCAACTATCCAATGCATTTTACAATTGTGTGACCTACTTTCTTATATTTGAAAATGAAAGGAACACTATTGGGTCAGGAACACAAACATTTATTCCTGAGCCATAGTGTTAAAACACCCCTCTCCCCCCTTTGCACTCCCTAAATATAGTATAATCTTACCTTTGTTCCAGTCTTCTGCAACTGGATCTGCCCCTGATCTGCCTGCTTGGCTGACATCATCAGAAGTGTTGAACTGAGCCAATCACAATGCTTTCACATATGAAAGCATTGGATTGGCCGAGACTGTCAAGCAGGTAGATCAGGAGCAGAGCCAGCAGCAAGTTAAACACAGCCCTGGCCAATCAGAATTTCCTCATAGAGGATTAATGCATCTCTATGAGGAAAGTTTAGACATGGTGAATTTAACACTAAAGGGTCAGGAATAAATGTTTGTGTTTCTGACCCTATAGTGTTCCTTTAAGCAACCAGGAAGTATCTGGACCTGTTGTCTTATTGCCAGTTAAGGAGTGCAACAAGGTTCTTTAAAAAAAATAAAATGCCAATTTCTAGCTGCATTTTTTGTAAAATGAACAGAGGACACACTCTTCACACATAAACCACTTAAAAAGCTGATGTGCTTTCGTGGTCTGGAGTGTCCTTTTAAGTTTGTTAAATAATGTTTCTGTAGATGTGTTGAAAACTCATTTTCGGCAGGTGTATGATAATAGGAATTTGTGTGCTTAATTAAAGGTCCTTATTTCTTGATTGCATAATAGTAAAAGTGTTCTTGAAGAGATTTGGAATGATGGATTGATATCACCATCATCGATAACTGTGGCTGAGCCCCTGTACTCCGACAGAGTACTTCCGCCCATTCCGGTTTCTAGTTGTTGTGAAAGGAGGCAGAAACACTTTAGCCCCAGTTGCCCAAGTTTGACTGGGATCTCTCTGGAGCTTTCCTTCCAGGCAGGTATCGTCGCCTCTGCCTATTCCTCTGCAGCTTTCCCTTCCAAACAGGTATGCACCTCTGCCTGCAATGTGATAGCTCTATATGCAGCGTCTGTTACGGCTCTCAGTAACAGGTCTGAGGACTCTGTTACTGGGATCCCTAAAACCACACACAACACACAGTTCCAAAAGGGACATGCAATACCTATTTTTGGACGAGGATTAGCCTTTGTGGACTAGTCCTTAAACATGTGGTGGCAAACATTTAAAATACAAATAACTAAATCATATCAGACAGCATACTTATAGTAACATAATGACACATTTATAAAGGGGTGGGGAAGACAATAATTAACCCAAAATTATGCAATAATTAACCCAAAATGCAAATCTACTTGAATATCCAAATTAACAAGCCTTGCTATTCAGGTAGTGCATATAGCTGTTGCTACCAACAGTGGGCACTATATAGGTTCCATAGCCAAATCCACCTACTTGGTAGCAAGCATCAGCAGCAATGTGACTACCGTCACATTAAACTTAACATGTTGGTAAATATCCAAACAAATAATTTCCCCAATTATTGTACCTAGAAATAATTTAATTACAAATTAATTTATGTTTTAATTTAAAGAGTGTACATTTTCCCATGTCTGTAGTATACCTCTAGATAAGTACTGTTTATTTTCATCTTATTTGCCTTTCTGCAAAAACTATTTTGCACCCTATCCCAGCTACTTGCCCCCACCGCCCCTCAAACAAAAACCTAAATTTGCCAGCTCTGTGTGTCCCTTTCTTCTCCCAGCCCCTTTGTGTCTCTTTCTCCCCCAACTCCTTTGTGTCTCTTTTCCTCCTCCCTCTGCCCCTCTGTGTGTCTTTTCCCGTCAGGCACCTTAGTGGGTCTCTTTCTCATCCTCAGAACCTCTGTGTGTGTCTTCCAAAAGTCCCTTTGTGTGTCTCTTTTTATTCACAGCCCCTCAGTGTCTTTGTCCCCCCAACCCTCTGTGTCTCTCTTTGTCCCCCCAGCTTCCCGGTGTATTTTTATGTTCCTCTCAGCCCCTCTGTATCTCTTTGTCCTCCCAGAGCCCCTCTCTGTGTCTCTTTAACCCTACAGCCCCTCCATGTGTCTCATAAGCCCCCAGGTCCCTCCATGTGCATCTTTAAGTCCCCCAGTCCCTCTTTGTGTCTCATAAACCCCCAGCCCCTCCATATATCTCCTTAACCCTCAGCCCCTGCTTAACCCACCATGTGTCTCATTAACCCCCCCAGGGCCACCATATGTCTCCTTAATCCCTTAATCCCCCTAGCCACTCCATGTGTCTCCTTAACCCCCATCCTAAACCCCCTATGTGTCTCATAAACCTCCAGCCCCTCCATATGTCTCCTCACCCTCAGCCCCTTCATGTGTTTTCTAAACCCCCCCCCCCAGCCCCTCCATGTAAGCCTTCCATTGTAATTTAGGGTCCCCACCCACCGCTCATGGGTGGGGGCCAGAGGAAGGACAATAGGTCCCACCCATTTTCATTTAGGGCCCCCACCTGCCGTTCATGGGTGAGGGCACGGGGAAGACAGTAGGCCCCCCCTTATTGTAATTAAGGGCCCAACCCACCGCTCATGGGTGGGGGCTGGGGGAGGACAATAGGTCCCCCCATTGTAATTTAGGGCCCCCACCAATAATGGGTGGGGGCCTAGGGGGAGAAGACAATAGGTCCCCCCCAATTTTCATTTAGAGCCCCCACCCGCCGCTCATGAGTGGGGTACTAAAAACTGTGGATTAGGGATGCATATTACAGCACTGTTTTATTTTGTCATAAGGTTCTTTTGATATCTTATTGAACTCCTGTCCATACTTTAAGAATTCTAATGAAAGTGAACATTTAAAATAACATTCTTAAGAATTCTTTGTTACTGCCTCAATATAATTTTCTTTATTACTTCTGATGAGCCCAAGCTAACTCACAAACACAGAGTTGCTATTATAAATTAGAAGTATGATGAATATGTCTCATTTTCTATAGTAGCTCGGGGGGGAAATGTGTCCATGTTTCCAAATCATTTAACTGCTAAATTATCTTTGGAACAGCAACCAGGTTAAATATGAAAATGCACATTGGATGGCAAAACATGTATAGCAGCATGGGATGTAGAATGTTTCTGCAACAAAAAGCCTGGAAGGGCTCTGATAAAATTTCTTTACACATTTAAGGATGTTGTGATTCATTTCACCGCCAGGTCTCTGGAGGGTAAAATATATGAAAGTTTTATACTACTTAAAGATTTGGCCATTAAGCATAATGGCAATAGTAATTTAAAGGGAGACTCGAGGCACCCAATGTATAATACTGCTTGTTGTCATGCTCAGTTATAATAAAGTATTTAGTGAAGCTACTACTTTGGGATTGTGATATACTGGTTTCTGGTTCTCTCTCTGATAGTTAAATATTGCCTCTTTGCTACCTTGTCTTTCTTTTTAGCAAGCTTTGGCACTCCGGATGTTATGGACTACATTTCCCTTGATGCTTTGCCAGTATTATGGCTGTAAGAGCATAATGGGAGATGCAGTCGCCAATATCTGGAGTGCCAAAGGTTTCCTACCCCTTTGGCCTAGAACATCCTTAAAGGAT